TTATAAGGATATACAAATATTTGATAAAGGGATCTTCTGTCTAGCACAAAAAGATATAACACAATCCATAGGGGGGAGATGAAGTTGGACAAGTTCAGATGGGAAATAAGGTGGGAGTTTTTTAACAGTGAGGGTAATTAAACACTGGAAAACTTAGCTCAGGTTGCAATGGATTCTCCACCACTGGGAATTTTACACCTGCCGTGCATACTGCTGTTGCAGCACAAAAATGCAGGTACTCTCAGAGGGTATGTCTACACTACCCTCCTATTTCGAAATAGGAGGGTAATGTAGGCATACCGCAATTGCAAATGAAGCCCGGGATTTGAATTTCCCAGGCTTCATTTGCATAAGCGGGGCGCCGCCATTTTTAAATCCCCGCTGGTTCGAACCCCGTGCCGCGCGGCTACACACGGCAGGAACTAGGTAGTTCGAACTAGGCTTCGTAGTTTGAACTACCATTACTCCTCGTGGAATGAGTTCGAACTAGCGGGGTAGTGTAGACATACCCAGAGATATTAAACACCCCCAAAGAGCACAGGAAGCAGAGCAGGCTCAAATATGGTGATTTGATGTGGCTCTACAATTCCCTAGTAGAAAGCATGTAATTGACTTAAATTAATCCTGCAACTCTTCCGAATACTGAAGCAAAGCAACTGACCAGGGTGCTACACATAGGCACCTTGCCACAAAAACTCCAACCTGGCCACCAGAAACTCAATGAAATCAAGCCCAGCAATTCAGATGGGCCAAAGCACCCAGCAGGCAGCATGTCATGAGAGAGTGTTAAAGTCTGGAGTCTATGATGGGGATGTAAATGATGGGATACAATTTGATCAATTCTCTCAGAGTGAGCACAGAAACTGGGCCCTGCTTCTTCAAGTAGGCCCTGTGGGAATAACCCTTTGCCTACATGGAATGTTACTGACTTCAAGAAGGATCTACTTGCAGAATGGCCTCACTCTTGGTTGGCATCATGACTGATTGTGAAGGAATCTCCTAAGCTAATAGCAAGCACCTCCTCTGCTTGATCTTAAGAAGCAGGATCTTTAAGTGGTAGCAATAGGAGATTTCTGTCCCCTCTGGATTAGGCCTAGAAAAGGGTTAGACTACCTACTTCCTGTGATAATCTCGTTTTGAAAACAGCTGAACCATTTTGGCTGAAGTTTTAAAAAATATGCAAGCTGAGGTAGACACTCAGCACAGAAAAGGTTGCCTTGAATGGTTACAGTTTTTAAAATTTGGCCAAGCTATAAGCAAGTGAAATCATTCTTATACTGGAAAGCGTTGGATAACCTTAGTAACAAGGGTTCTATCAACCCTGCCTATAACAAAGGCATAACATTTATTATGGTTTTCTTGTCATTATTGGCTATGTGCAAGGTTATGTCCTTAATAAAAAGAATGGGCAATTTAAATTACACATACCACAAGAATCTTATCTTCCAAGTCTTCTTTTAGAGAACACATGATGGAAGAAAATTAGTTTTCTAATTAAGTGGTGACTTTGTAGGAAATTAGTTCAATTTTCTTGTACATCCAGCTACATTCTGAGAATCCTAGAGGGAAATAGCTTATGCTGATGATACCAACAAACATTCACAATAGCTCTGTTAAAGATTCTTTTGGCGAATGTGGTTCAGAAGCAAAATATTCAACAAAGCAAAATGGCTTTTCTTTATACAGCACTCAGGATTTCTGTGGCAATGTTAGGAGACAAATAATATAAATGACCCCACCCTTTATAGGCCAACAAAATACCACACGTGCTGAACTAACTACCCATAGTAAAATTAAGATGTCTGCGTGTTAATAATCAGATCATAAATCCCAAACAAAACAAACTACACTTCTAGCACATATGAGCACAGACAGCATTGGTTCAGAGACAAACCACTTCTTCCTAATTTTTCTTCCCTTTTTTAACAAGCCCCACAATTCAACTGGCCTCTTTCGAATCCAGCCATAGTCAATCACATTTGGCATTGTGTGTAATGAGTAAGAGATACCTGCAGTAACTCTTTTTTTAGAGAAAGAGTTTTATCCCCCTCCCCAGCCAAACACCTTTCACACTACTGTATACATTTTCTCTTTCATTTCCATCCTTTAGGGGTAGTTTAATAAACTCAATTATTATATTTCAGTATCATCTCATTTACATAAAACTGAACTGAAAAAAGGAGCTTTTCAATGGTGGAATAATGTTTTCAGTAATAGAGAAAGATGAACCAATTTGGATAAATAAAGAACCTACCCAAATTTTGGCCTAAAAGTCAAACTGAACTTGACATGACTTTTGTTTAATTAAAAAAATAAATCAGGATAACCTTTTCATTGATTACTTTTCTTTTTCAAGTAATTCAAACAGAAGAGGAAATGCTGTTCTCATATTATTTCTGACAAAGAAGAAGCAGGAAGTACAAGACATCTCACCATAATGCTTACTCCCATAAGATTTCCAACCCAATTTTTGTGAAGCAGGAAATTCAGGTCACTTTGATAAAGTTCAGATACACACTTTAATTTCTGTGTAATTGTTCCTATCAGAATGAGCTTTTGTATCTTGGAGCTTCACTTATCATCTGACAATTTGGGCACACAAAAACCTTTAAGATATTTTATTTCAAAATGCTAATCTAATGCCACAATAAGATTGCCAGGAAGGGAAATGCTTTGTGTGCTTGTGATACAGAAATGTTACATCATAGATATTGAAACAGCAGCTGCTAAATGCTCTTTTCCACATCTTCGTCCCCTTAGTTCAGCATCGTTTATTGATTATTTGTGATAGATGAAAGAATGAACAGAATTTTAAATCAACAGGTTCAAATAACTTGCCTCCAAAAGTTTGAATTAAATTGGCTGAGGAAGTTGTGAACTGTCAATGTTGATTTTCAATAACTCTTACAGCACCGTAGAAGTTCCAGAAGACAGGAACAAAGCTACTGTTGTGTCAACATTTAAAAGGATAAACAGGGTGACCCACTAATTGTAGGCCTGCCACTTTGACTTCAATCCCAGGCAACAGAGAAGCTGATACGAGGGATGTTAAATTTAGATTAATTGTCTAATCGACTCTTTGATTAGTCGATAAGGGCACCTCCACCTTTGAAGTGTATCAACAATCCCAGGGCTTTTGCTACACTTCAAAGGTGAAAGCACTTTGGGGTGCATGGGGCCAGCAGGGGACTCAAGCAGGCCCCTGCTGGACCCATGATCCCCACAGTGTGTCAAACTGGCAGTGCTGCATGGAACCGGGGGTCAGCTGGCTTTATTTGGCATTGCCACTTTGAAACTCTGTGGGGAGCCCAGCATCAGGCTTCAGGTGGCATTTCAAAGCGAGAGCACCGCATAGAACCCAGCTGATTCCAGGCTCCATGCGGCACTGCTGCTTTGAAGCACCTGCACCACCAACTTACTCTCTTTGCTGCCTCTTTCTGATAGAGGCAGCAAGGGCGGATGGGAAGCAACTAGTCAACTAGTCATTCACATCCCTAGCTGATACAAGGCTTGATTAATAAAGAATCAAAAGAGGGTGATGTAATTAATACCATGAACATGAGCTTAGAGAAAATAGTTGCTGTCAAAATAACTGTCTTTTATTGATGTTTTACAAGTTGTATTGAAAAAGATAAAAGTGTCTCTTTATAGATTTCTGTGGGGGGTTGATTTGGCACTGACAACATTTTGATTAAAGATCTAATATGTTAAACTATTAACTGGGCATATATGAAAGGATTAAAAGTTGGTTAAATGATCTCAAAATGTAACTCCAAAGAGAATATTATCTCTAAGTGGGTAGATTTCTAGTTGGGGCCCAAAGGGACTGGTTCTTGGAGTCACATTGAACATTTTTATCAGTGACTTGGAAGAACACAGAATCATTGCTGATAAAGTTTTTAGGCAACACGAAAATTGGGAGAATAGCATGTAATGAAGAGAACAGGCCACTGAGACAAAGGAATATGGATTTCTTGATAAACTTGGCACAATCAGTCAGCGTGAGTTTTAATGGAGAAGGTTAAGGAGTGTCTTGACTGAAGTCTATAACTACCTACATTTGGAACAAATATTTGATAATGGGATCTTCAGTCTATCAAACAATGGCATTACATCATCCGATGGCTGGAAGTTAAAGCGAGACAAACAGACATTGGAAATTTCTAACAGTGATGCTAATTAACCATGGGGACACCACAAGTTGTGGTGGATTCTCCATCACTGACAATTTTAAAATCAAGACTGAATGTTTTATTAAAATATAGTCTCTAGAAATTATTTTGGGAAAATTCTATGGCCTGTGTTACACAGGTCAGACTAGATGATCACAATGTTTCCTTCTCACCTTAGAATCTACGAATCTATTAATCAAAAAGAAAACAATGAAGGACAGGACAATAAAGAAAAGCGGCAATACACTCAGAAACATATTCATTGAGACTTATGTAAACTACCAAAAAATAGAGCTTAAACTAGTTGTTGGTTTATCAATTTGTTTACCTGTAGAATCACATTTTAAAATAATGATATTGAAGGGAAGAACCACAGTAAAGAAAGTTCTGATGCAGGGGATGAGGAGTGGACAGGTTTTTTTTTTACATTGTTGTTACTTGGGCTATATATTCCACCCTTTGTTAACCACTTGAAGGACACATGGAACATAATAGACCAGATCCTCAGGTGGTGTGAACTGGTTTACATCAGCTGAGGATTTGGCCTAGTAATTTTCCATCTTCCATCATATTGTGTTGCTATTTTAGGTGATTTTAATTAGGTTGAAAAAAGTGGTATTCTCTTAGATGCAAAATTGAAATTAACAACAGTGTGGATACTTTTTTAGTTTGTTTCAGAGAGAAAATAGGTTGTTTGGGGTTTATTAATAAGCCTAGGACCTTAGTCTCAAGTGGAAGGTAATCTACAGAATATTAAAATTCATAATTCACAATAGAAACTTCTACCCAGAACATCACTGTCAGTAAATATCTTTAAACAAACTTTACCTTGCACTATGTAGGGTGTGTTCTCTTCTTTGACAGGGGAACACACGGGACGAGGGGCAGGTGCTGGTGGCCGGTTTATAATCAAGGACCTGCGTTCCTTTCTTTTTTCCACATCAGAAGCCAATATCATATCATACACGCTCTCATCTTCATCGGCAAAAGTGTATGGATCTTCCTCCTCTTCCTCCTCCTCTTCCTCAGATTTATTTTCTGCTCCACCATATGCTTCCAGATGACCAGAAGTCTCGTCTTTTTTGTTTCTCTCTTCTACCCATTTCCCTGCTGCAACAAAGATAAGTTGTTTTCAGTCTTTAGACTCCAAAAAGCTGCATTCTACTAACAATATTTTTATTTGGATTCTTAAATCCATGTTTAGGTGTCTAAATAAAAGTGGCCTGATTTCCCACCATTCCTATTAAAGTCCATATAGATGGCTTTTAGGGGAAGGACTAAATTTTCATGGCTTTTTCATAGTTTTAGTGAATTTTTTTGAGACTGGGAGCAAAGAGTTAAGTATGCAAATAAATGGCCATATTTTTAATGGATCACCCAGAAGCTTCCACTGAATATAAAAGATTTCTTAACCTTAATAATAAAGCAACATAAATGGCAGCTGTGAGATTCTCAGCACTTTTGAAAATCGCATCACTTATGTGCCAAAATACAATCTTAATTGCCTAACTCTTTACATAACTGTAGTAGAAGCTTTTTGCTTTTGTCTCCCACATGTTTTCTATAAATGTCTGGTCTCTTTTCAGGTGCCTCCTGATGGCCTCGAGGCAGCCCTGCATGCAGTCCCTCAACTCAGCTTCCCTCTAGGATCCCCAGCAAATCGATGCAATCATGTCTTCAAGTCCATGCACACTTATTAACAAAACAGCACTGAAATCCCACAGTTTGCCACCCCAGAGCAAGTGTCTTTGCCACATTTCCATCCTACTGCCAGGACAGCCTCCTCAACCCTTCCTTTTCAGGGCTGTGTCCAGACTCAGGGGTTTTTTTTGAAAAAAGTAGCCTTTTTTCGAAAAAACTTCCCCTGCGTCTAGACTGCCGCCGCGTTCTTTCGAAATTAAATCGAAAGAACGTGGCTTTTCTTTCGACGGCGGTAAACCTAATTCCACGAGGAAGAATGCCTTTTTTTGAAAGTGCTCTTTCGAAAAAAGGTGTTCTTGAAAGCAAACAGGGCTTTTTAGAAAGAGAACATCCAGACTCACTTGCTGCTTTCTTTCGAAAAAGCAGCTTGCTTTTTCGAAAGTTCCGCGTGCAGTCTAGACGCTCTCTTTCGAAAGAGGCTTGCAGTCTAGACATAGCACAGGTGTAATCCTTCTCCTCCCACTGGGGGCTCTCACAGCCTTTCTGCTGGGAACATCTCTCACTCCTCATGGCCTCACTCCCCACTATGCCTCAGGATCCAGCTCTCCAGCAAGGAGACATCAGTGGATAATCCCCTTCACTGCTTCCCCTTCCTTCATCCCTCTCTGGCAGTGGCTCCATACAGCAGGCATTGTCCCCTTTTGCTGCAGCGGCCTTCAATCCTCCTCAGCCCTGGCTCTCTGGGTTGAGGCCCTCTGACTGCTCTCCTAGGCTATGTCTACACTGCACAGTTTCTTCGCAATAAGCTCTTCCAGAATAGTTATTCTGAAATAGCTTATTTCAAAATAGAACATCTACACTGCGGGGAAGCCTCAAAATTAGTCTGCGGCAGGATTCCCTAATGCAGAAGTGGAGTCCCTAGATTTAGAGTCCCAGGAGGAATAACTTAGAATGGCCCTGGTGAGGGGCTATTTCAAAATAGCAGAAGTGGAGCGTCTATACGCGCCTTATTTTAAAAAAACGGAATTGCCGTGTAGACGCTCACATAGTTAGTTTGGAATAACAGCCATTATTCCAAAATAACTTTGCAGTGTAGATACACCCCTACTTTCAGCCTTTTCCTAGTAACCAGCATCTGTCTCTGTCAGCTCTTATCTTCGGGTCTGCTCTGGCTCTCCTGGGGCTTGGGCTTCGGCACTGTTTCACTGAAGCGTAACCATTCGAGTTTGGACCGAAGCCTGGGATTTAGAACCCTGCGAGATGCCAGAGCCTGAACGTGTATCTTGCAATGGAACATTGCTGCAGCTCACCTGCTACAAGCTGGAGTCAGCTGGAACAGGACAGCTGCAGGTTTTTTACTGCGATGTAGCCATGCGCTTATAGTCCCCAGGTGCTGCCCTGACCTCTTCACCATGCACCAGGACTAGAACAGGAGGGCCAAGCCCACTTTTCTTTAATGGAACAACTATCCTGAAACACCAACGGGTTTTGTGAGATGGAACAAGATGTGCTGAAGTACTAGGGATGTAAAATCCCATTTAATTGGCTAACCAGTTAAACATATTGTTTAACCAGTTAGCCAATTAAAGAGGTGTGAATGGGGGAGGGAGGACACCTCCCACCTCCCACTGGCCCGGGACACTGGAGCAGCCTCTACCTAAGGCAGGCCAGGGTGTCCTGCAAGCAGGGCATGCTCCAGTGCCCTGATCAGAGAAGCCCCTGCCTGCAGCGTACCCGGGCCCACCAAGGACAGAAGCTGCCTCCAGTGGGCTTCCTGTGGAGCTAGAGCAGCCCCCTACCTGTGACAGGCAGGGAGCTGCTCCAGCCCCACTGGTTAACTAGATAAACCTTCACATCCCTATCAAGTACTATACTATAAACCATGAAAGGTCCCCAGATGTAATTTTACAGCTCGTGACATACAGTTATAGTGTACATCATCTTTTGTAATTCATGCTAATGCCTTTAAAAATAACGGATTCTTGAGCCTCTGCTTTCAACTTCCCTATTTCCTGCATAATGTGTTTTCTGGCTGTGCATAGTTGCATTCACTTTTAGTTTTTACTTTCTATTTAAAAAAAACATAGGCTGAATTAATAATATCCCAGATTTCATTTTTTAGATAGCAATATATTTGAAGCTGGTGCAGAGAATGTGATATTGAAAACAGCAGCTGGGAAGACATTTCTTTTTTAAACCAATGGTTTTAAAAACACTCAGACAGATGTCACAAACATGCTTCGCACAATTTATTAATGAGTGATTCTGATGCCACTGAGATGCTGCATGTATGCATTTATCTATTACTGGCTACCTACCATTCCCAAACAAACAGAATATCTCCTAGTTGGTTTTAGTAGTGAATTGGGGTTCTCTTCATGTTGCAGTGGTCTCCTTTGTTCATGTAAACAGGCTGTATAATTATCACTACTGTGTACCCTGGGTTTCTTATCTATAAAATAGACTGTCACTGATGGATAAAAAATCTGTAACATTCTATGCAAAACATGAGAAGTAGACAGTTTCCATGCTATTATAAATGTTATGTTTTTGTGTCAATGGGCATTTTCATTCTCAGAACTCCAACAGGGGGCACTCTTGTGCCATCGTCAAAAAAATAAAAATAAAATAAAATAAAAACACCAAACAACCCTTTCTCTGAAAAAGGGCAGAGCAGTAGATTGCCTTTTATCTATTCCTGAGCAATCGCTGCAGTAAATGGCTGACTAAAAATGTGTAGCGATGACTCATTACAGTTTCTCTTTGAAAAGAAACTATCATCCTAATTTAAAGAAGATCCAGATATGTTATTTTCCTTTTCCCCTTCCCCACAAAGCTGTAATGATGAAACCAAAGCTAATACTTCATGAAAACACGGCACGTTTTAAATTAAGGCTTTATATAGGGATTGTTTCAGAGGAACTTCACATTATCATTGAGTTCTTAACTGTCTGCGCTCTCTATGTCCATATCTACCTACCTGATCCAGTCCATATTTAGGTTTTATTGGCAGAGATGGAAGCATTACAAATGTATGGTGTAGCTACACATGGGTTATGCAGGTTAATCCAAACTTGCACCAAGAAAATATTTATTCCAACCCTACCCATCTCACTTATGTAGCTAGTATAAATGGGAGGTATTTCAAGAGAAGTATGGGGCACTTGGGATTTATGGTGGCAGTGGACCACTTCATGGTAAGCAGATGTCCTTATCTTTTGTCATCTTTACCTTTTAGTATATGCATATAAACTTGTAGCATTCTGTATGAAACCAGCTTTTTTTTTCACATTATGGGACTGCAGAAAATCCTACTGAAGCAGAACAAAGCAAAAACATATCCTGGAGAGCAGTAAGTTACAAAACACATAGCCATGCAGATACAGCGAAAGCTTTGTTATCTGGCACTCTGTTCACCAGAAAATGTTGTTAACCAGCATTGCCCCCAGTCAAATACTGGCGCATCTTCAGATGTGTGTGCCTAACTCCTGCCTGTCCAGCCAGTTGTTTCAGGACTTCTGACAGCCGGCAATACTGGCTGATGTAATTAGAAGGTGCCTCTTTTCTGCTCAGCCTGCCTTGAGATGTAGGGAGTCAGATCTGCAGGTAGGTGGCAGGGGGAGAGCAATAGGCGTTGTAATTCAACATATTCAATTAACTGGCAATCCCCCATTCTCCAGGATTACAGCTTTCACTATACCATGAAGATGGAGATAGATTAATTAGAAAAGACTATACCGTAGAGTGAGATGGGGAGCAATGTTCCCTCTAATCTCTTCTGTCCATGTGTGGAATAGATTTTTATGTGCCCTGAGGCATGTGTGAATGTGCACCAGGAGAAACACAAAACCTAGCTGTAGGCACGCTGCTAATTGTAAAGGAGGTAGGATCTAGGAAGAGGATTAGAGATGAGAAGTAACCTAGTCAATGGAAAGGAGCTAGGACAAATTTAAAATGTTTGCCAACATCAGTGCACTACATATAGTCAGTAAATGTACAGTAATTTCTCATTTAACACTATAGATATGTTTCAGAAAATGATTGTGTTAAGTGAAAACGTGTTATGCGGGGTCAGTTTTCCCATTGAAAATAATGGAAAAGGTGTGGGTTGCGTTTCAAGCGGTGGTGTCTGTTGGGACCGGGACATAAGGTTGGGGGAGAAAAGGGTCTGGGTTACAGCAGGGAGGGGAGGAGTTTGGCTCTGGGGAAAGGAAGGGGAGGAGAGGAGAGGGGAGGGGGATTGGGTTAGGAGTATGCCCCTCTGACAAGTCTGCCGGGACCTGCACTGCGTACAGCGAGGGGGGGTCACCGGGAATGGTGCAGCAAGAGATAAACCCTCCGCCACTTTGCAGGGAGGCGGGGGAAGCCCTGCGCAACTGCTGGTGATGGGCCGGCTGGAGAAATCATGTTATTTCTGAGACGGTCGTGCATTTCAAAAAACGTTCCCTAAAAAAAAATCACGCTATTAC